ACACACACACACACACACACACACACACACACACACGCACGTACATTTGGTGGTGGGGGACGGGGGCATGGAGGAGCAGAGAGAGAGGCAGAGAAACCCAGACAGGCTCCATGCTCAGTGCAGAGCCCAACCTGAGGCTTGATCTGCCAACAGTGAGATCATAACCTGAGCTGAAATCAAGAGTTAGACACTTAATCGACTGAGCCACCCAGATACCCCCTGAAGAAATTTTTTGTTATCTTTTTTTTTTTAACATTTTTTTTAATTAAAAAAATACGTTAGTTAATATATAGTGTATTAATGATTTCAAGAATAGAATTTAGTTATTCATCACTTATATGTAACACCAAATGTTCATCCCAACAAATGCCCTCCTTCATGGTAATCACCCATTTAGCTCATCCTGCCACACAACACCCCTCAAGCAAACCTCAGTTTGTTCTCTCTACTTAAGAGTCCCTTATGGTTTGTCTCCCTCTCTGTTTTTATCTTATTTTTCCTTCCCTTCCCCTCTGTTTTATTTTTTTAAGTTCCACATATGAGTGAAATCATATGATATTTATCTTTCTCTGATAGACTTATTTCACTTAGCATAATATACTCTGGTTCCATCCATGTTGTTGCAAATGGCAGGATTTCATTCTTCTTGATTGCTGACTAATATTTCACTATATGTATACACACTACATCTTCATTATCCAGTTATTAGTCGATGTACATTTGGGCTCTTTCCATACTCTGGCTATTGTTGATAGTGCTGCCATAAACACTGGGGTGCATGTGCCCCTTCGAATCAGCAGTCCTGTGTCCGTTGGGTAAATACCTGAGTCATAGGTAGTTCTATTTTTAAGTTTTTGAGGAACCTCCATACTGTTTTCTAGAGTGGTTGTACCAGTTTGCTTTCCCACCAGCAGTGTGAAAGGGTTCCTCTTTCTCTGCATCCTCGCCAACATCAATTATCACCTGAGTTGTTAATTTTAGCCATTCTGACAGGTGTGTGGTAGTATCTCATTGTGGTTTTGATTTGTATTTCCCTGATGATGAGTGATGTTGGACATCTTTTCATGTATCTGTTAGCCATCTGGATGTCTTCTTTGAAAAAGTGTCTATTCATGTTTTATGCCCAATTTGTTCACTTGATTATTTGTTTTTTGGGGTGTTGAGTTTGAAAAGTTCTTTATAGATTTTGGATACTAACCCTTTAACTGATATGTCGTTTGCAAATATCTTCTCCCATTCTGTTGGTTGCCTTTAGTTTTGCTGATTGTTTACTGTGCAGAACCTTTTTACCTTGATGAGGCCCCAATAGTTCATTTTGCTTTTGTTTCTTGCCTCTGGAGACATATCAACTAAGAACTTGCTGCGGTCGAGGTCAAAGAGGTTGTTGCCTGTTTTCTCTTCTAGCATTTTGATGGCTTCCTGTCTTACATTTAGGTCTGTCATCCATTTTGAGTTTATTTTTTTGTATGGTATAAGAAAGTGGTCCAGGTTCATTCTTCTGCATGTTGCTGTCCAGTTTTCCCAACACCATTTGCTGAAGAGACTGATTTTTTTCCATTGGATATTCTTTCTTGCTTTGTCAAAGATTAGTTGGCCATACATTGGAACATTTCTGGATTTTCTGTTCTGTTCCACTGATCTATGTGTCTGTTTTTGTGCCAGTACTATCCTGTCTTAATGATTACTGCTTTGTAATACAGCTTGGAAGTCCAGAGTTGTGATGCCTCCAGCTTTGGTTTTCTTTTTCAGGATTGCTTTGGCTATTCAGGCTCTTTTCTGGTTCCATACAAATTGTAGAATCGTTTATTTAGCTCTGTGAAGACTGCTGGTGTTATTTTGATAGAGATTGCATTGAATGTGCTGATTGTTTTGGGTAGTATCGACATTTTAACAATATTTGTTCTTCCAATCCATGAGTATGGAATTTTCTCCACTTTCTTGTGTCTTCTAATTCAGTTTCTTTCATAAGCTTTGTATAGATTTCAGTTTATAGATTTTCACCTCTTTTGTTAGGCTTGTTCCTAGGTATTTTATGGTGGTTGGTGCAATTTTAAATGGAATCAATTCCTTGATTTCTCTTTCTGTTGCTTTATTATTGGTGTATAGAAATGCAATCAATTTCTGTATGTTTGTTTTTATGTCCTTCGACTTTGCTGAATCCATGTATCAGTTCTAGCAGTTTGTTGATGTAGTGGAGTATCATGTCATCTGCGAAGAGTGAAAGTTTGACTTTCTCCTTGCCGAATTGGATGCCTTTTATTTTTTTTAATTTATTTTTATTTATTATTATTATTATCATTATTATTATTGTTACTATTTTTTTTTTTTTGTCTGATTGCTGAGGCTAGGACTTCCAACACTATGTTGATTAACAGTGGTGAGAGTGGGCATCACTGTCTTGTTCTTGGCTTTAGAGGGAAAGCTCAGTTTTTTCCCAATGAGGATGATATTAGTTGTGAATTTTTCATACATGGCCTTCATAATTTTTTTTTTTGTTTTAAATTTTTTTTTTTCAACGTTTATTTATTTTTGGGACAGAGAGAGACAGAGCATGAACGGGGGAGGGGCAGAGAGAGAGGGAGACACAGAATTGGAAACAGGCTCCAGGCTCTGAGCCATCAGCCCAGAGCCTGACGCGGGGCTCGAACTCACGGACCGCGAGATCGTGACCTGGCTGAAGTCGGACGCTTAACCGACTGCGCCACCCAGGCGCCCCATGGCCTTCATAATTTTGAAGTATGTTCCTTCTCTCCCTACTTTCTTGAGGGTTTTTACAAAGAAAGAATGCTGTATTTTGTCATGCTTTCTCTGCATCTGTTGAGAGTATCATGAGGTTCTTATCCTTTCTTTTTTTAATGTGATGTATCACATTGATTGATTTGCAGATATTGAACCAGCCCTGCATCCCAGGAATAAATCCCATTTAATTGTGGTGAATAATTCTTTTAATGTATCGTTGGATCCCATTTGCTAGTATC